TAATAACCAGGGTTTCCCGAGGATTAGGGGAAACTCTAGTTAGGGGATTACATAGGCCACGATAAGCTTATAGCAACCGTCGACCTCTATAGCTAGCTACGTAATGCCCCTAATTACCGCACCCTCTATCGCGCCTAAGGCGCCCTTTACTCGCCTTAGGGCGATCTTTTCTACCGGCACTTATATCTCTCGTAAGCGCCTCGTTAACTACGGCGTAGCACTAGCAGCCCTCGTCTATAAGGGCGGCAACGGGTAAGGAGTTATTAATTATAACCTATATTAAAGTAGGCTCCTCTTCTATACGGGCGGATAATTCTTCCTTCTCCTTTACTAGTACTAGCAATTAGGGCTCTAGAGCCCGTCTTTGCTCTGGAGCTACTCTTTTTCCTCTAGGCCTAGGGGGGCGGAGTCCTCCTTATCGTCTAAGGCGAGGAGCGGTTCTATCTTCGCTACTCGAACCGCTATAGGCCGCTTAGCTAAAAGGAAGGGGCATTTTAATATAAAGTGCGTAGATGCTCCGCAACGTAGGCAGCGGCCGTTAGCCTTCCTCTTCCCGATTTCCTCGCTCGTTACCTACTTCGCCCGCTGCTTAGAGTGCGGGGCGGTATAGGGGGTGGTCGACGGCGTCTTCTTGCCGCGTCTGGCCCGGTCCGTGCGGGTAGCCGATATTAGGGTGTCCCCGTCCGTGTCGATAGCCGGTTATTTATCTTACGGAGGGGCGGTGATCCCGTCGCCGCTATGCGGCGTGCGCTTACGGAGCTTCTAGAAACGCGGCGTCTGCTCGTAGCCCTAAGCTACCTTTATTAACCGGCTCACGTACTCGCCGTAGTTAGTAGGCATAATTATAGGGATAAGCAGCTCCTATAGGGCCGGCGTAATCGAATTCCGTAGCTATATAAGCTTCGCGCTGTCTTCCTATACCGTAGTCCCCGCTGCCTATAAGAGCGTCTCTTCGAAATCGGGAAGGAATTCGCTAAAGGTTTATCCGTCTCTCTGCTTAAGGGTCCGTAGCCTATCTTACGCCTTCTCCCGCTCCTACACGTTGCCGAACGCATGTATAAGGTGTTAGAAGAAGTCTTATAGGTCGCGTCTGCCCCTAGGGCCGCCCTTATCCTCGAATCCGGAGATCCGCCGTATCTAAGGCTCCGGCAGCGTGTAGAGGAGCGAATACCACGCTATATCGCGATAGCTATTTAGGCCCTATTTCTCGTCGGTTATAAACTTCGTCTATAGCCGGCTAAGGAAGAAGTAAAAGGACTCCGGCTTGCCGTCCTAAGTCGGCTAAGGGAGCGGCTTCCTCGTCGGTGGTGTCGCCGCCGCAACCGGCGTTGCGGAGGCCGTAGGGGTTAAAGCCGGTCTCGTAGACGGCTCCCCTAGTGCAGCGAGAACCTCGTCCTTCTCGCTAGCCGTCGCGCTTCTAATCGCTTCTAGGATAGCTACGATACTTCCTATCCGTCCGGGGAGGGGCGGAGTGCTTCCTCGAGGGGGAGGCGCCCTCTCCGGAGAGACATCTATTAGATCTATTAATTGATAGCTTATACTATCACGGAGTAGGCAGAGGCGTGCGCGTAGGTGCCGTCCGTAGGATAATGTTAATAAGCTATGCAGAGCTCTTCTATGCGCGGCTGGCCCGCCCTTATACTTACGGGATCCGGCCCTCCGCACGTGACTACACGGCTTAGGCCGCGGCCTAAGCCCATCACCTATAATAGTCAAAGACTCTTACAGCTAACTATTATATCGACCTATAGGGGCATTTACGTTAGCGGGGGGAACTATAAGTACCGGGCGCGCTATATACTATAAAAGCTAAGGAAAAGGATAGACTATTAAAGCTAAATAAATAGAATAAGCTTTAAGGGAAGCTAGTCTAGCTCGTCTATAACTTTAATATTATAGGCTACCTAGGTTAGTAGGGTATAGTAGTAGGCCTTATAAGGGATTTTTACTAGCCCCTTTTATAGTACTATATTTACCGCTTTCTTTATAACTATAATATCTATAGCTATACTAAGATTTAAAGGGCGTAGCTTAAGGGGCTACTTAAGTAGCTTTTAGTACCTAACTAGTTCTATATATATATATATATATAGACTTTATAACGGACCTTTTACTTATAGAAAGTAGTAACCGCTATATATAAGTAATTAAGGACTAGCTTAGTAAATTAGTAGTACTAAAGCTAATACCGTTTATAGATATAAAAGCTTATATAAAGCGCTTCCTATAGTACTAGGCCCGCTTATATAGCTAGCTAACCTTTATTATAAGTAATAAAAGATCGAACTAAACTAGCCGCTTTTAATAGTACCTATACTAGCTACTTTAAATTATATAGCTACTTAGTATAGCTTATTACTTATAGACTAATAAGGGACTTAAGAGGGTTAACTAAGAAGCGTAGGCGTATTTATAGGTAGTAGTAGCCTATAACTAAGTAGACTAAGACCGCTAGCTCCCTATAGCCTAGCTCGCGTTAAATAGTAAACTATAGGCCTTTATTAAGATAGCTCCCTTCTATACTATATATAGCTTTAAGCCGCCCTCCCTGATCCTATTTACTATAGATATAGTAGTAAAGTAATATAGTAGTTCGTTCTTAAAAAGCCGCGCCTCTATATTTATATAGAAGCTATAGGAAACTAAAGAAAACTATTAATTTATAATAGCCGCCTTAGCATAAGATTAAGAGCGGTATATTAATAAGACTAAGGCCCTAGTAGATAAGTTTATAGTAAGAGATAAAGTATAGCTTAACCTCCGTAACTATAGGTTAGCGTAGCTAAAAAAGAAGCTAGATTAGCTATATATAAAGTTTATAGTACGGAGGGTTATTAGCCTATAAGTAGTAAAGCTCGATAATCTTTTAATAAGGGTCTATAATAAGATTAACGTTAACCTCCTTCGCTAAGCCTCCTTTAACCCGCTACCTATATAGGAAGTAGCGGACGCTTAACCGCCCGCTATTAAGGTAAAAGGGGATAATAAATTTAAGGTTAAGGAGATATAGGCTATACGCTAAAAGAAGGTCGGCTAGGGAAAACGCTAAGAGGTTCTTATAAAGTAACGCGGGTACCTTAACTTAATATAGGAACCTATACGTAAGTTTATAGGAGCTATAGCCCTCGATAAGTTTAAGGCCTTATATAAACTAATAAATAAGAACGACGGACTAGTAGACTACTAGTAATAGCCTAAGCTAGGACTATAAAGTAGGTAAAGTAAAGGGGGTAGTTATAGTAATATAATAATAATAATATAGGTAGAGATAAAAATAGCGTTTATTATAGGGCGGAGCCCTTAGACTACCTAGGCCTATTTCTTATTATCGTCGTTACCTTTATTATTATTATTATTATCCTTATCCTCGTTAGCCTCCTCCTTCTTATTAGCGGCGGCGGCGCTCTCTAGGGCGCTAAGGCGGCCCTCTAAGCCTATAAGCTAGTCGGCGGCGGCGGCGGCTCTAAGGGCGGAGGGGCGGCGGCTAGTATCGGCAGCGGCGGCAGGGGCGGTAGCGGTAGCGGAGGCGGGCACGGCTAAGGGGACCGCCGATAGGGCGACGGAGGCGGTGTCCCTAGCGCCGGGTGCGTTAGAGGCAGAAGCGGGGGAGCGGAGGAGTAAGGACTTACTTAGGCACGAGTACGAGGCCCCATCGCTCGAGGGCGCGGAGGTTGCGGTATATAGCAGCGGCGGCGGTAAGGCGCTTCTTAGTAGCCCCCCGCGCCTGCCCGTGCGAGCCGGCCTTCTAAGCCGACGCCGTAGCGAGTAAGACGGGAGGCGCCGCCTCGTAGGCGCGGCCGGCGCGCGCGTACTAGTAGCAGCTGCCGCCGCGGCGGCGCCCGACCTAGTCGGAGCAGTTAATTTCCTACGACGCATAACGTATATAGGGGGCTGAGCGGGCGGCGCCGGCCTATACTTAGCGCTTATACCGTTTTAGAGATGCTGATTTATTATCTCAACCAGACAGCTTAGTGGGTGCCACGGCAAGGGATAGTAATGTCTGCACCACGGAGAGCAACGTTCCTCTAGAATGCCAACCTTCTGTCGCAATTTACTCATAGAACGGGAAACCAACGGTACAAAACTGCGTTCTTCGTTCACGCAAATGTGGCTTCTGCGTGTACTTGGATCGCGGCTCAGACTCAGGGCCGTGCGAGGTGGATCCTCGGGGACAGGATGCAAAGGTGCGCGGCGTGTGCAAGCTTTGCTCATTGCTGGTTGAACCGGCCGTGCACCTTTACGGCCCGCAGTGTTACTCTTGAGTAATGGGACAGGGGACCTCCGTTTCTCGTCTCATCTAGGAAGGTTCAAACAGTGACTGAAGAAGCGACGACTATCTTGGGCAGTAGACTTGTAAATTGGTCTACGTCGCTTTAAGAAAAGCCATCGCCTTACCCTAAAGCCTCGTGGAAGTCCGAGCCGTCGGCATATGCGGGCCGATCACACCTAGGCATGCTCATCGACTCGTCTACCTCGGTCGGATCAAGCCCTTCAACACGCACGACGACTGGCCTATCACGATCTCAGGCAGTACATCTCCAACGCGGCGTGCTTGGGGACGTTGCTCTCTGGGCGGGATTTGGCAAGCGAGAAGTCGTCGGGCTGCTCGACCCGCCATGTTCGGGAACGAGGTCAAGGCCGAAGTCGAGGCGCAACGGATCGGGTCAGTGTACCGTCTCGGTATGATACCGAGTTGGCACTGCTGAGATCCAGTATTCTTGTTGCCATTTATATGGACCTTGCATTGAGAAGTGACTGTATGGATTGCGCTGACCTCCCTGCAAGAGGGGGTTGACTGATATGGCCTTATATGTGTACTCAATGAGCCCAGAACATCAGGGTTCCTTACAGATAGGTTGAACACGGATATACGGGACTGTACGTGACTTCCTGTGTCTCACATGTGGACCGCCCATTTCTATCACCGTTATCCTCCCACCTGTAGGCGCATCCCGTGGTGATGAGCTCATAAATATTCCTCACCTTGGTCCGCGACAATTCTACCGCGTAGTGTACCCCCCATTGCAGAAAAGCGTCTGTCCAGTTACGAACGCTCCCTCGGTACAGAGAAACTTGATAAGAGGCGCAACATCCTGAATGTCGGTGAGTCTGTTGCCAATAGCCTGGCTCTTATGGAAGGCGACAGCCTCGTCAGACTCTTGAGAGTAGAAGAAGGCTACAGAACCAAGCTCGGTTAGCATATTATCTCGCGTTTTATGCAGGGTTTTGCTGCTGCTTGGCGGGTGGTAACGTACGCGTGTCCATCGGCCCGGGGGCCACGGCGTTGACGCTAACTTTACGGCTCTGCAGCTCCTTGGCCACACCGCGAGTAAAGTGCTCAACGGGAGCCTTAGACCCGGCGTAAGAGGTATAGAAGCCTGTGAAGGCGGCTAGCAGGGCCGTAACAATGGTGATGAGCTTTCCACCGTCCGTGACATTCTTGGCGCCAGCCTTGAGGATAAGGAAGGCAGACTTGGAGTTAACCCTGTAGGAAGATGATTCACTCCGTTAGCATCCCCTTTCACTATACCTTCGGCGAATAAACCGAAAGAGGAATAAGTCAGGAAAAGATAAGACTTACGCAAACATTTCGTCGTATTCTTTCTCGGTGATATCAATAATGGGCTTCTTAAGCACCTTGCCAACCGTGTTTACCACAATGTCCACCTTGCTAAAGTCTTTGATGACGGAGGCAAAGAGCTTGTCGACGGCGGCCTCGGTCGTCAGGTCCCCTTGGTAGAATCGGACCTGGCACTTGGGGAACTTGTCTTTGAGCTCCTTCTCTAGCTTGACTGCGTCTTGCTTGGATTTGTCCGAATTGTAATGCAGTGCTAGATTGGCACCCAAGGGGGCTAGGTTCTTCGCAATCTCGGCCCCGAGGTTCTTGGCCCCGCCGGTGATGAGGGCGACTTTTCCTTGGAGAGACATGGTGAGAATATGGGCTTGTTGGCGATGTTTTGCTTTAGTGCTTTGAAGTGTACGTCGATTGTGTGATTGAGTCTTGTGAAGGGGATGAACAGCTGAGGAGAAGGCTGCGTCTATGGGTGTGTGCGCCTGACCTTTTATACTCCACAGGCCCGCCTGCTCCCCTCTACATTGTTTCTCTCCAGCCGGCATCCTGAAGCCTGACGTCCCAGTTTTTGCTTTTCGTAGGAGAATCACGCATAGTAGTGGGGATGTTCGCCGGCCGTCCCGAGAACAGTCGCGGTACAAGGCTCGAGAGTCGATTTTAAGCTCTCTTCCCGTCAGAATGTAACTGAGCATTTTCCTCTTCCGGAAACGTCGACACGCCGCTGTTGGAGCCGCGCCGATCAGGTCTGGCGTAGTCGAGCTCTCTCCCCCGCGAATTGCCAGCCGCTTTGTTGTTCCTTTTGCTGATGCAAAGAAGGAGACGTGCTCTCGGCTTACATTGTCCCGCTGGCGCTGTGCATCGGAAATAGAGATGTGTGGAGCAAAGGCAAAGGCTCTTAAAGTTTTTAAACACGCAATAACTGCGGCCAGTCGCCCACTCCCGTGCCCTCCGAAGAGGGCTGAACGAACTGAAACCCCACCGGGCCACTAGGGGTAGAAGTCATTCCTTGGGCATCTTTCCAGTTTTGCATTTACATGTAGCTTTCGTCGGGCCACTAGCTCTTGTGTGTAACGAGTAATGGCGCGTACCCGGGTGTGCTTGATGGTAAGTCTGACATCTTCTTCTATGTTCACCGGCGACCGCATGCGTCGGCGTCGATCAGGGTAACGCCCATTCAACAGATGGTGCTAGCAAGCCTCGTGGACCTCTGACGGCACGTGAAGTCTAAAGCTCAGGTCATGGGAGTCTCAAAGCATGGCGATGCTGGTTCGAGTAAATGCCATGGGCGGAATCAGTTTGCCCTCCCCAAGCATCTATGCGGAGCTTTGATTCTCCCCGCTCAAGCTCCAGGTGGTGACGTCCCCAAACTTCAACAGAAACCGCCCTAGTCGGCTACTGTAAAACATGCACCAGATGCACGCACCCGATCAGGACAAGGGCCGTCTAACCGTGTGAGGTCTCGGATATGTCTGGAAACAAGAAATGTGACATCAGGAAGCGAAAAGCACGAATCCCGAGCCGAGCCGGGGTTTGCGCTTGGCCCCGTCAATCAAGCCCGAACACGTCCCGAGCGGCGGGCACACACGCACACCCAAACCATGCATCATTCTCGGCCTTCCTCCTTCTGTGCTTGACCGCCCTGCTAGTTTTGGAGCTGCATCACGCTCCTCTGTCGGGGAAACTACCATGCCCGACGGCACGTTGCCACCCTTTGAGTTTGTCGTCGGCAACCGCCCGGAACAGCTCAAGGGCTACGGCCACAGTCACCTGCGCTCCCACGTCTCCAGGCGGGCTTGGAAGGGCCTCCGCGTGTCCGCCTCGTCGTCCTCCTTGTCTCTACCTCCCCCCTCCCCACCAGACACCCATGGGAAGCACCCGCCCCGCCCCAAGAGACGGCCACGCAAGAATAAGGCCTTGTCCATTGCCTTTGAATATGCCCCCGCTGACGCCACTGCCGCTCCGTTCCATCCGGCCGAGCGTGCTGGCGTAACGGGCGAGCTCGAGCAGAGGTCGATGACGCCGCAGCTGCGTCTCGAGTGTTTTCTCGCTCAGTCCGGGGCGCTGCCCATCGATTATCAGCTTGGAGGCGGGCGGGTCGATCCCTTTCATGCCCACCCGGGGCCATGGAGGCCTTTTATTCCGGCATTGACGGATCATTGTACGTGGACTCAATCCCCCCCTTTCCCTCATTCCACTCAGAACGGCGTCATTGGCGCTTTAATTCGAACCCGCATGGCTTCCAAGAGGCGCCCTGACCTTCGTGTGGCTAACGACACGTCGACCGGCCGTGCACACGACGCGCAGATATTGTCCACATGGCCGTGGACATAGCCGAGCTCGATGAACCAGGCCACGCAGGCCTCCTCCGCACCCGGTGGTTTCCTATGGTTCTCTCGGACCCGTCCACCTTTGCCGTCGTCCTCCTCCTCTCCGCTGCCAACTATGTAACTACCGTCAGCACTGCTAGAGGCGGCGAGCCTCCACCGATGGCCACTATTGCCTCGATTGATGATGACTTCCGCGGCCCTATGCAGCCCTGCCCCAGTCGGCGGCATTTACTTCACCTCAAGCAAGCCGCCATCGGCGCCATCAACATTGCGCTGAGCGATCCAGGCCGACATCTGTCCGATGAGATCATCGGCGCCGTTGCAAAGATGGCGAGCTTTGAGGCTATGCATGGCGATCTGACCTCGTACCACACTCACATGGAGGGCCTGCGCATGATGATTCGTATGCGCGGCGGCCTGTCCTGTCTCGGACTCGGCGGTCTCCTGCGCAGGATGATCGTCTGGATCGATCTGAACGCGTCCTTTCTCCTAGGCACCAACAGATACTTTCCGAGCCAGACCTTTGCCGGTGTCAGCGCGCCAGAACCCCCTGATGAGCCAAATCCTGCCCGATTCATCGCCATCCCGTAGATGGCACTCGATCCCAGCCGGTGGTCGTGGTAACGTGTGCCGTCTACGAGATATATGCGTGAAGGGGAAAAGGCAAAAGAGAGGCGCAATAATATTTCTAAAAGCATACACACGAGCCGTTGGAAAAAGCCATGGAGTACAAGAGTCCCTTGAACTTGGTAAAACTGCAGATTCGGCATTGACCTGTCATTTGACTAAAGCCTGACTGATGAAGAAAAATGTTGCTATTACTTCACTTCCGCCCTGGCTCCCCTTGACCACCTAGTTCGTGCAACCCGCCAAAGTTAAGACCGAGAAAACTTTCACAGTTCAACCAAATCTTCTCATAACCTGGCAGAGCCCAGTTTCTCATCCACGCCGCCTTTAAGACTTACTCGGCAGTGAACGATCGCTAGATCTGAACGCGAGCATCCCATGGATCATCGCAAAGGAAGCGCCCTTCCCCGTTATATCAGAAGTCGCCATTCCTTTGTCATGTTGAGGCTCTTGTATGCTGTCCTCGAAACGCCGATCTCACATCCGGACTGTTTTGCCCTCTACCAGCGAGGCCAACACTGCTTGCGGGATTCTGTCCAGGACTTCAGCTACCTGGACCTTTGTCGCCGTCTCCATTCCATCCAGCATCAGTACGCATCTTTCTCCAACCTTCTCTTCAGCTGTTATCAACAACTGGATGACCGCCTCTTTCCCTAGGCCGGATCTAAGCCCCTGAATTGTACCGTAAGCAGATCCATGAGCAAGGAGCCCTTAACGTTGGACTCACTCGCCTCGAACGCCTCCCAAGCACCAGGCTTGGGCATCTGCCAGGACACAAAATAGTCTGGCTGCAAAAGGTGATAGCGGAAATTCTTCCGCCAACTCGGAATAAAGGGAAACGATGCGCTCCACGACATCTGGAAATAAGTGAGAGTGTGGCGGGTCAGTCGCAACTATCGAGACACTTATAGCTTTGGCGATAGCCTGGTTACGGCTGGCTTGATACAAGGGGTCAATGGCAAAGCGGGCGTGGCCCAGCAAGAGCCCACCGGTGAGCGTCCAGGGAAGTCAATCTTTAATTTAGCTTTTGGTCCTCAGATAAAAGAAGAGAAGTAGATTAATTGAGATTACACTAGTGACCTATCTAGAGGTATCTAGAACTTCGGCGTTAAATAGGAGGGAAAAACTAGAGTGCCTAGAGGAAAACCCTCCCCTCTTTCGTAGCTAGTCCGCCCTTATACCGGGTCGCGGTTATAATACGTAGGAATCTTACGCCGGCTATTTTAGGTATCGTTATAGTTAGTCGGAATCGTATTAGCCCCGCTATAAAGTAACCTTAGAAAGTAACTCCTTTATATACGCGGGGTATATAGTATTAATCGGTAGTACGAGCGTTTTTAGTTAATAGTTAATTATATAATTATCTTTAACCTTATCCTATAACGATATCTTCCTAGGCTTTACCTTATTTTCTACTATAAGGCTTAGTAGGCTATTTTTTTTATTAATACCGGCCTTTAGCCGGGCCGGTAGTTAGGTTATTATACCGGCTTCGCGCCGTCCTTATTAAATTGCTAGTATCGGCCCTAGGTTTTTATTTTTCCGGTCGGGGGGCCCGGACCGGGGTTAGAGGGAGGTCCTAACGAATTCGTCGCTAGGTCTAGGTAGGCGAGGTATAGGCCGGCCTACTTATAGCGGGGCTAGACTACTAGTATATTTATAAGCGCTTTTAGAAGCGCTTATTAGCTAATTAGTAAGTAGGTTAGCTTTATCTAATTACTAGTCCGACTAAAAATTAATCGTGCCCCTAGCTAGATTTAAACTAACTTTAGCGTTATAGCTAGTAGGCCTCCTAGGTATATAACTACTATACTATAAGGGTAAAGAGAAGTAGAAATAAAATAATATAGAATAATAGAATATTTTCCTAGATAGTAGGGGTTAAGTCTTCGCTTATAATATAGGGTATAGCGTGCTTATCCTTACTATATATACCTACCTAACTCTATAAGGAAGTAGCTTTACTTATATTAAATTATAATAGGCTATTATAACTAATATATTATATAGCTAGAGCTTCTATTTAACTACGACCTTTTAAGCTGCCTTCCTTATCGCGATAAAGCTTTATACGTAGCTATAAGAGGGAGAAAGTCTAAGACACGTCTAATTATAGCTAGATTATAGCTAAGATAGTTAAATATTAGTTCTAAAAATAAGTAAACTATTAAAGTATAGTAATAATAAGCTAAAGTAGTTATAAGTATTAAGAAAGATATATCTAAGTTAGAAGGGCTAATAATAAATAACTTCCTAGCTTTATAAGTCCCGTTCTATATACCCCTTTAGTACTAAGTAGTTAAAGCATTTATATTAAAGATAAACTAAGTACTTACTAAAAGCTTTTAAGATAAGTAGATAATAGAAACCCCTAAAATATTATAAATAAAAGAAGTAATATATAGTACCTTAATTTAATAGGAATCTAGCTTCTATAGCCTTAGTAAGGAGGCCCTTAATATTATAGTAGATAAAGCTTTCTTAGTTATAAGGGCGATTTATTCTCTATTAAGGAGCTCGTTATTAGGTTTTTTTTATTACTCGTATATAGCCTCTAGGGCTATAGCGAGGCTAATAGGAGCCTAGGCCCCTATTAGTAGTCCTAGCTAGCTATAGAGCCTAGGGGCTTATAATTAATTAAAGAAAGGGTAGCTATAAAGGTAATAATAAAGGAAAAGTTAATCTAGTTCCTCCTACGCGGTGTTTTTATAATAACTAGTATTATTCTTAAGGGATAAACCTATCGAAGGGTTTATATTAGTAGATATAATAGGGCGTAGTCTAAGTAATAATAAGTATATTATATTAGTAATAAGTTAAAGGTTATAGACTATAGACTATAACTAAGTAATTAAAATTAAAGATAGATTTATAATAAAGATCTATATTAAAAGCTAGAGAGCTATCTATTTAAAGGAGTAAAAGTAAGTAACTATATATACTTATAGAGACTATCCTTAGATTATAGTTCTAGCTATAATCCCCTTTATAAATTACTATAGCTTACTTATAAGCTATACTCCTAAGTAGTAATCTATCTATATAAGGTATACTTAGCTTATATATACTCTAGGTAAGCTAAGCCTAAGTAACTTCTTATCTTAACTATTATTCTAAGCCGCCTTATTATATAAATATAGCTAGCTCTCTTATAGCCCGCTAACTATAATCGTAATATAATATCTCCCCTCCTTTTAGTCTTATCTATAAGACCTACTACTACCTTAGCTACTATATATAAATATACTATTATCGCGTATATATATATTCCCCGTTTATCCTTTCTATCCCTTAAAATATATAACTAATAGTATATTTAGTCGCGTATCGAAGGATCGTTCTTATAAGACCTTTAAGCGTATTTATTTAGCTAAGTCTATTAATCGTCTAAGTTTTAACGTTATACTATATTCTTTCTATTCGTTACGCGGCTTCTACTATAAAATACTAGAGAAATCTTCTAAGTATACTAAATATATATAGCGGGGTCGTTCTTATAATACGTCGGGCGTAGTAATTAGCTCTTATAAGTAACTTTATTATCCTACTTATTATTTATAGCTAATATCTTTCCTAGTATCTTAAATAAATCTAGAGTCCGATCTATTAAATAAAGAAGAAGAAATTACTAAGGAGTAAATATTAAAAGCTTAAGCTAACCTAAATAAAGCCTTAGCTTATTTAGCGCGGCTTTACTATTAAAAACGCTAGCTAAAGATAAAGGGTACTAAGATAGTTTATTAGGGCCTTTATTCCTTAGGTAACCTTAATAAGGCTAAGCGCTAAGAATCTAAAGCGGTGGTCGATATTTAGTCTATAGGTAGATTTAATATAATTAATTAGAATGCTATTAGTTTATTAAGCGATTTTATAATACCTAGGGTAGATTCTATTAGTAGAACTATCGAAGTAAAGAACTATAGTAAGTTAAGTACTTAATTAGTTCCTAGGTATTTTCCCTTAGTCTATATCCCTTTTACTTAATAAGGTATTCTTATTACTAACCTTATTTTCTTATATCTAGTATTTATTTAGCTTTATATTCTTAATTATTATTAACTTTAATTTTTTCTTATAGTTTAGCGTTTTATAGCGCTAGTTCTAATAATAAGATATAAAATATTAGGTATATCTATATTATTATTAGTAGCGAAAGTTTATAGTTAACTTTTAAAATAGTTTTCTTAACCTTAAACGGTCTAAGTTTCTTAAAATCTAATTTATTACTTAGTTATTTTATTTTAATATTTCGTCGTATAAGGTAGACTATATCTCTCTCTTAAAAGATTAGTCCTTATAATCTTTTCTAATTATAGTAAGTAGATATTCGTTCTTTAATAAATTAAAGTTCTTATTATATTTCTTTATATAAGTTTTATAGCTAATCTATTTATAGTATCGCTCGTTCCGCTTATAGTCCTTATTAAGTAACCTTAAATACTTCTATGTTATATCTATAATTAGTATATACTAGTAAGAGCTTAGTAATTTTTATAACTAAGCTATTATAAGCTAGTTATACTATTAGTAGCTATTTAACTTAATCGTTTTATTTATAGCTAATATAGTATTATAAATATTATTTAAGCGTTTAGTTAAGTCGTTCTATTTATCTATTTATTTATAGGTAATAAGCTATACTAAGCTTATATTTCGTCCTTAATTATACTATAAGAGCTTACTAAAATTTAGCTATAAATATACTTCCTTTATTAAAGATAATCTTATTTAATAGTTTATAATTACTAATAATTATTCGTAGGATTATATATACTAGCTCTTTTATATTACTTACTTCTTTATATAGTAAAAAGTATTTATACTTTATTAATCTATTAGTAATAATAAATATACTATTATACTTAACGTTAGTTATAAGTTCTTTTAATAGTAGTAGCTTTATAATATAGTTAAAAGCTATTATATCCTATAGTTTCTCTAGTACTAGTAGCGGTTATAATTCT